AATTTCGACGTGGTTGGCTCACCCAAAGCTTTGGTCAGTTGAATGAAAGTATCAGGAGCAATAAAGTATTCACTAGTCCAGAGTTACAAGCGACCTGTGCTTTGATGCAAGTGTACTGAGGCAGGTCACTTTAGCAAGAAATACAAAAACGTGTGATCTCTTGTTTAAGCTCGCCGTGTACCACGCATGTATTAATATGATTAGTCTAACGTTGGTACTCCGGTGTGTTGGGCTTTTCGCAGACCTCTCTGCCAGAGCATTGAAACTGACTGCATTTGCAGTGTTATTGCGATTTCTTTATTTTTGTGTTTCATTCGCACCTGAATTACTCAAAGCTGCCAGAATCCGAACTCAACTGAGTTTCCATTCGCAGGTAAACCACTCTCAAGCACTTACGTCACAGTATTGTTAAAATCAGCCTGACGAAGACGGCTGAACCATTCGCCATGACGCTTCGCCGCAACCTCCAGTGTACGGCTACGTACATTGACCGCGAATAAAGTTCGGCGAGGAATAAAATTTAACCGTTTTTTTTTTGTTCTCAGGCTCGTCACCTTTCCATTTTGTGCAATGGCTGTGCACAAATACGGCACAATATAACGTGATAATGGATGGTGGGCGCGAAAACCGGCTCAACTTTAGTATGCTCCTGCGTGTGCCCCTGCGTGATACATGACCCTAGTAAGGCGGCCGGAAGTAGCGCCTTTCTCGCATTGCCCGCATGCTGTGCGGATAGCCGAAGCATAGGCTGCAAGTGAAGGAGCACAGGGTTGCTCGGAGGTGAATACCAAGGGACCAACAACTGATTTTTTGCGACCCATTTTTTCCGGCGTGACATGAAGCTTACTCTTCGTAGTGTTCGTAGCTGCAGTGGTCAATCCTAAAAACATGCGGTTAATTGATGAGCATTATTTCTCGATCTGAAAGGATCTGAAAGGTTCTGAACAATGATGAGCCCTTTCATCCAGCAATGCTTAGAAGTGATAGCGATCCTGGTAGCCTTTTTGGAGACGCGTCATTTTTGAGACAAATTGTAGGTAGAAAAAAAGACATCACTTCAAAATCTTAGTGACCCGGAAATGGGATTATTACGTCATGCGAAGGCAGCTCCATTTTAATGTTTACTACTAATGCAAACCTATAGGTACCTTTTTACAGAGTAATATTTTTGCTATAGAAGCAAACAATATTTCGATATAGAAGTAAATAGGAAAATTGTTGACCGCGTACACTAGTTTACGGTCACATGAGAGGGAACATCGAATAATTGAAGTTTCTCCCATCAGGTAGCACCACAGGCTATTTAACAATTTTCAATAAAGAAATAGAAATATAACTCCATTCCTCAAGAGAAAGACAGGGTTGGTTTGAGTTACTATGAGGGACAATCTTTCCATCCGCACAGTCATCTAATTTCATGTTCTGGACAATTGTCGATCTATTTACCTGCATTCTGCAACCACAATTGACGTTTCACCGATAGCATACGCTTGCACACGGCTTTTTCTCGAAATTGTTTCAAGACCTGGCGTGACTCTGGGGTGGAATACTTGACTACCACGTATAATGATTATTTGGGTTCGATTCCTGCTGGTGCCTTGATATATATATATATTTACACTCGTCGGGTCAACGCTGCTGATGCCAGTTTTTTCTTATGCTCTCGAATTTAGGTTACCGATGTCTGTTTTCGCCGTTTCTGAGTACATATGAACACTCAATAAACAGTGACGCACGGCCACATACAACGGCCCATGGTACACGTGTACGTGCCGCACTGGTCGGGAGGATTGGGTTTGGCAATGTACAAGACGGGTTTTTCACGTTGTTCATGTCCTACATTACCCGCCAGGTTCTCTGACGCTCTTACGCTTCAACACTAAATTATGCTCCGATCGAATCCTCTTACGCTCCAATACTAATTTTGGTCAATCTCAAGTTTTAAAAATTTCGGCAGGTACCACGTACCAGGAAATTCCACGTTATGCGAAGCATACGGAGGGAAGGTGACCATGTTGCAATTTTATTTATCGGGTGAAACGTCATGAAATGACGCTAAATATATGTACAAATGTAGCGCCCATAGACATACGTAGAAGAGTTGCAGATGTTTATATAACCAGTTGTTTGCACTTGCGCAACGATATCAACTGGAACATGCCTAGCAACCCCAGAAGCTGGTATGAAGCACTGATGCTCGCGAAAATGCTGGCCCTGGACACTGCTACATAAATTAACTTCAGCGCATGACACCTAATCACGATTGACGTTAACCCGACGTGACGGCTGTATCCAAGGAGCAGATATGCAATGTTTATAAGGTAGGCATCCCTGCAACCACTATTCACGTTTCACGAATATTAGGGTCTATTTGAAAAGTAGTTGCGAGACCTGGCGTTGCTTTGTGATAAAATGCTTGGCTGCCACGCAGGATGCTTGCGTTGGATTCCTGCTATGACCCTGAAATTTATTATTTGCGTTCGTAGGGGGCGGGGGGTGTCAACGCTGACTATGTCAGTTTTTTTTTACTGACATTTATTCAATGTCTTCGTTGGGTGGACGCTACCGATGTCGGGTATTTCTTACCGCTTACGCGGTAACCAAAATTGCCCATGTGTGTTCACGTCGTTCCTGGGTATAGATACTAAGTGTCAATCACCTGTGGCACATACCCGCACACCAGCGGCACATACCCGCCCGTGGGTATGCGCAACTTTCTGGCGGGAAGGGTTTGACGAGGTACGTGACGGGATTTTGATGTTATTCACGCCTTGAACAGCGCGTCATATTAGTCAAACCATCTCACTCTCCCATGCTAATTTTGGTTCACGCCAAGTTAAGGCGTAAGCATAGATAGATAGATAGATAGATAGATAGATAGATAGATAGATAGATAGATAGATAGATAGATAGATAGATAGATAGATAGATAGATAGATAGATAGATAGATAGATAGATAGATAGATAGATAGATAGATAGATAGATAGATAGATAGATAGATAGATAGATAGATAGATAGATAGATAGATAGATAGATACGTTCAAAGTACCTGCAGTTCATCAATATGGTTGATTGGGTGAGTTGGTGATTCATGACTGTTTTAAAATGAGAGCGCACTACTTAGACACGGACAGAAAGACAGGGACAACGCTTACTGCCAACTGAAAATTTATTCGGAAAACTATGCAATGTATACTTTCAGATGAAACGGCGTCATGGCACATACGATAAGACCAAATCACGGACCAAAATAACAAAACCGATAAAATCTATGTACGTCCAGCTCAGCCCTACCAAGGCCTACTGTGCTTTCGAGTGCTTACTTAGCTCCTACGATATCTGCTACTGTCTAAAAATGTTATCTCCTTATCGGACAGAGCTATAGATGGACAGACCGACCTGCAGTTCGCTAAGAAACGCTTGTCATTCAATAAGCGGTGTGGTGTCTTCATATGACATAACACACCAAGTATGTCGAGGTAACAATGACAAAGATAAGTCTAAATATTGAAACGAGAACTAGCCTGTATGAGCCACGTATTGCTGGTCAACCTTTAAGGACCATAACCTCTTAAAAAAAAAAAAAACAGCCCTTCGCGGAACGCTCAACCCAGCCACAGCGAAAGCTGGAAGAGCGGCCTTTGAGAGCCTTTTCTATTCAAAACACAATTTAGGTAACTGCTACAAGCACTCCTGCTGGGTGCTCACTATGCCATAAATAATCATAATTTTTGTGTAATAGCCCGGCATTCACTATGCTATCCTTCGTCATTCTTCGGAGAACCGTGGTATCCGCTACACAATTGGAATGAGTTTTGTGCAATTTTTTATGCAGTGGCTGATGACGAAGAGAGAGAGAGAGAAACAACTCTATTTATCCCATCTTAAGGGAAAGGAGCTGCGAGAAGGCAAGCGATCCTACTCGCGGTAGGCCTCTTCTACCACCTCAGCCCACCTCAGGATATCCTCCTGAAGGTCGGGGTTGTAGCTGCGCATGGCAACCTCCCACAGCTCCTGACTACTTATTTGTTTACGAAGGCCCGGGGGAGGGCAGTTATTTCGACATTGCCACATAATGTGGTCAAGGTCCGCTTTCCTTACCGTACAAAACTTACAGGAAGAATTTTGCCTGAAGTGGGTATGCGCCACAGTTGATGTGTGATCAAGAACAAGCTTTTGTAATGGGTTGGGGCATTGGACGACCCACACGTTACGCAATTCGCATTGTGTGACGCTTGGTTGCTCCTTTGCTGTTCTGAGACACTTTATTGCTCATACTAAAGCAATTCGTTTCGCGACATCTGCCAGACAGGTTTGCTACGGAGCTTCAGGCACCGGCGTGGCTGTGTGGAAAAGTGCTGGGCTCGCACACGGGGGACGCCGGTCTAATTTCTGCTGTAACAGTTATGTTTTTACTACGAAGTTTCGTGCGATTTTCTTATTTCGTGTGGACTGCGGCGGCAGTGGCGGACAACTGCGGCACCGCACGCAACCCTCGTGATCGCATAGCAGCTTTTTTAGTTGTAGTGATCACTATTACAGTTTTCGCTGTAAAACAATGTCATCACTACATTGCACTCAGCAGCTGAACAACTTATATTACGTGGTAGTTTTTGCCACAGAAAACTGCACCACTCACGTAAAAGCCTTCTCGTAATCTGTTGTCCGTTTAGTTGCTTACGATGTACCTTTATTTTCTTGATCGGTTACCACCTTCCATAAAATCTTACCAATCATCGTTTGGGACACGCAAACATGCCATGCAAATCGTATGCTAGATTTTAACAAACCACGAGACCCTAGTAGAAGACTTTATTTAGACTTCAGAGGCCACATGCAACGACATGCATGTACAAGCCTGGAAAAAAAAAAGAAAGCTGTGGTTCAAGAGATTTTTTTCTTTTGTGTTAGAAGTAAAAAGTCTTGTGTGAAACAGTAGACAGCCAGTCGCGTCGTCCACGGGCATGGTAGCTCCATCACGTGCTCTGGTGGTGTTTTCAAGACTGCTGTCGATGGTTACCGCAAAGCCGCTGTAGTCCAGACGCCCATCAATGTGCCAATGCCCTGCACATTTGTATGGGCATCAGAGGACATACATCGGCAGCAATACAGCTGTCCTTTGGTTCAGAGTGAGGCTTTAAGCTTCGCAGGTGATGAAAGTGATGATGAACGAGTCGTTGACCACGTAGCCGTTTTCCGGGTTCTCAATGTCGTCGAGTGTCATGATGGCCGTGTAGCCGATGCCCTCGTTCTCACCGTCCTTGGGGCGTAGAAAGCAGTGTTCCAGTTCTTTTCCCAGATCCTCGGGCACAATCTCGGCAATCTTGTGGTATGTGTTGTTCTTCTGGTCCACAATTACGAACGTACTGCGCCTCCTGTAAGGCCATTGCAGCGTTGGATCGTAGGGCCCCTTGGTGATGTACACGTACACGCTGAGGCAAATGTTACCCTTTTCGTCCTTCTCTGCAAAGTGTCCACCCAGGTACATCTTGTAGCCCTGAATCCCCACGTAGAAGTCATCGCTGAAGAAGGACTTTGACTTGCCCTCGAGCACCTGCTCCTTGATCTTGGAAAAGTTGTTGACTTGCCAGGCAAACTTGCTGGACCGGAAGCGATCCTCTATGCTGTCTATTCGGCCTTTCAGGTAGCTCTGGATCTTCTCTATCTTGGTCACGATCCGCTTGTTCGCAATGGCCGAGTCCTCACGCATCTTCTTCATCTCATTCTTGACAGTGTCCTGAACAGCCCTTACTGTGCTCCGGATCGCCTCGAGCTCAGCAAAGTTCTCCTTGAGCCACTTCACCTCGCGACACACGTCGTCCAGCTTCTCACGCACTTCGCTGATCTGACAGGCCTCGGCGCCCGTGAAGATCAGCGTGCCGTCATCGGCCCGTCCAGCAAAGCCCGCCACGCCGGAGCCCTCGCCGGCCTCTTGCTGCTGCGGAATGGCGCTGGGCTGCTGCTGCAGGCTGCGCGAGCACTCCAGCTTCAGGTGTGCCGCAACATCCTGGTGCTTCATCTCCTTCATGCAGACGGCGCATTGGACGCTTTGGTGACCGCAACCACTCAGATGCTCCTTGAGGCCGTTGAGGGGACCGACGTGGTCACAGCCGTTGGCTTTGTTCGGGCAGGCGACGCGGAAACCTTTCAGAATGTCGGCGGAAGTCGTATCATGGTACACCTGGTCTTGCATGCTACGCTCGTTGTCAAAGGGACAGACGAACGTGTCGTCGTCTTCACGCAGCTTGCCGAAGCACTTTGGGCAGAAGAAGTGCGAGCACTTGGTCAGGTACAACTCCGAGGGCACCGCGCCACAGAGCGAGCAGATGCGGTAGATGGGCACCTCCTGCTGGAACTCGATGCTCGTGTATTCCCCCACGAAGGGAAAGCCCGTTAAGAAGCGGCTCGCCGTCATGTTGACGCGTGGTGTACCCGCTGATCTCGAGGTTCGCTCTGAGCGTCGTCAACTGCGCCGGTGGTCCGGAAAGAACGACGAGGTCCGCCTCGCTCTTACCGATGGACACCGAATGCGCCACGTTCCAGCCCCCACGAGCTGGGCGCGCTGCAACGGCGTCTTCATTCTCTTTTCAGAAAACGCTTCGTGATTTCCCTAATCCCGACAGGCACACTTTTTGTGAGTGCCTGCGACACCGCAGTCACCCGGAACACCAAAACCTCCAGTTTTACCTCCAAGGGAACGTGAAAATTGCCCTGATCATGGCCAACGCGCCTCGAGCGGGACCAAACACCACATGCGCGACGAAATCATCATCATGAAGTTGTCTATTCATTATGTACGTACGTTCTTTCCTGATGCGTGCAGGCTCAACCATTATTGAAGAGGTTTAATTTGCTAGGAAAACACAATAGAAGTTAACATGATTGAAGCTGGGACCTTGCAGCGTAGAAAACAGAATGGCTTCACTGCAGCAACAAGAAAACAACGCGGCAAAGCACCCTGTTTCGTGCACGACGTACTCTGCCATTTTTCGGAGGCTTATGTGCACTTGCGAATTTCACCATGCATTGATTTTGAAGTAGCGATTTAGCTCAAGAACTTCCTGCAGTTTTCTTTAGAACTACGAGAAATGACAAAGGCACAATGCTCGTGCTCCCGAAACACAGTCTCCAAAACGAAACCAATGTACTGCGTACTTCACCCTGCCTTGCAGTTCTTAAAACATCAAATGAAAAAAAAAACACGTAAACTTTAAAGTTATGAAGAAATTATTCAAGTTGTTTGTCGCAGTGGTTATAGCTGGTGTCAGTAAAAGTTTTGAAAGATTGAAGAATGGCGCAACTATATAAAGCAATCCATTGGAAGCCAATCCAATCTGAGATAGGCCAACAACAAGCAATTCAAGGCCCGTCTGCACGCAATGGCTGGACTGGGGTTGCCGAAATTCAGCCGAAATGCAAACACCGTCCCGAGTCCAGGTGATCTGAGCGACGTGGAACGTCTGGAGGACTTCCAGGAAGCGGACTTCAGAGGCATGACGCTCTCGCTGAGTCAAGAAACGACCGACGCCGTATCTCCGATGCAGCCACCGGCAGACCAGCGCGGCGTCGATGTTTCGTGCCTGGGCTCCAGCCGTTGTCGAGCAGGTTAGATTCGATTTATTTGCCCATAGCTCGCAGAATTGAGTGCCAAGCCTAACTCGTAGCGTTCCGCAGCCATTTCGCATATTTCCCATCCTACCACACTTTATTGTGGTTTGGACAGTTAGTGGGATCGCTATGCGCACTAGGCAACTTTCGCTTTCCCTTGTCGCAGTATCTCAGTAGCTTTGAAGCTTGGCTAGGGAAAAGCGCCCGAGTAACGAATCTCTAGAAACTGGCCAGCTAAAACGCGAGCTGCCGTGCAGCGGAGATAGCCGCAGTATCAGTGTTGTGCTTGCCGTTCAAAGCAGCAGCGCGCTTTGGGCTAGAGTTTGGTTGCTACACCACTCAGGCAGATTGCTTGCACTGTCTTCAGTCTTCTTGGTGCGTGGAGATCGTATTAGCACCCGCCGTTGCAGCCTATCGGCACGAGTGTAGCGCCGCTAAACTCAGGGACGTGGGTTCGAGTTCCGTTGTCGGCAGCCGCATGTAGATTGGCGTAAATGCAAAGTGACCACTTTAACGTACAGAGGTACGTTAAAGAACCCCAATGTGTCATGTGAAACCGTAGCCATTTGCAGTTATATATTGTGTTGTTGCCCCGTAAATTCCTGGGATTTAAATTGACAATAATTGATTGCATCGGCTGATCTTTCAGGCACTGCGGCGTGCAACCATTCACATTTGCTTACCGCGCTTGAAGGCCGTCTCGATGAGACTACTCAGTAATGGCGTCCACATTCAGCATAACGTGCCTCGACGTCACGGATAAAGTATCGAGCCAGTGATTGTTTCGCTGATTTAGCGCCGCACCATATCCGCCGCGTCGGCTGCCGGCGCAGCACTTTCCGCAATGCGCACGGCGTCAGCATCTCATGTTTTCCTCGTGCGCTGGACTCCTCTCCATATGCGTGCTTTGAGCAAACGCTGTCAGCGCGCAGATGGTTTCAAGCAGCCGATTGTCGCTCTGCAAAGAAGCGACCCCCCTCTTCCTTCGCGATGTGTGTCAGCTGCTGTGACCGCTACCTATGTTCTATCAGAGTGTTTGCGGATTCAGTGTCCTACTCAAGTTACAAGAGGTAAATCCAACGAGGAAGCAGTTCAGCGTAAGATATTGAGGCTTGAAGTTATAAAAAACTTACATTAAGGTTTGCATTGAGCATATGGTCCAGTTTGTGCATAGCCCTTAGGGGAAACTGAAGGAGTTCTGAATTCAATCAAACACCATGTTTAGGAAGGATCGAAATTATTGTCCACAATTTCATCATTTTTCCGTAGTTGTAGCAGCAGGAGTTCCAGAACACGTGAAATAAGCGCTCCGAAAGTGTGGGGGTCAAAACATACGTCACCTTCATTTCCTGTGGCCCAGAGCCGCTCATTAGGTGCGTATTGCGTTCGGTTTAGCTGAGTGTCGCTTACACTCAGCCAAGTGCAGATGTAGAGTCTCGAGACAGTTTAGGTACGATAGTACAGGGGACTCCATAGATTTCGTGTTCTTAACAATCGCTTTTTGATGAGACGTGACCAGCTTGGCTGCAAAATGATGGTGAAACAAAGCATATGCTCCTTCACCCTCTGCTCATATTTCCTAAGCAAAGCAAGAAGCGTGTTTCATGTTCCGAGTGCTTCGTGAGCAAGCATTCTTTCTTATCTTCAAACATGGCCTCTGTGATTAATACATGACGTGACGTTTTCGGAACCAATCGAGGAGGCCACGCTTCAGCAGTGCTGCAGTTGCAAATGACGCGGCATACCGAGAATGACGTCATCTCAAGAAGCCCGGTGGCCACAGCCTCTATCTTTTCCTCGGAAAAGGGCTATGTGCATTCCCTTTTGAGAACTCGCATCGCTTCTCGAATTAAGGAGGGATCAAACCCTCTTTACATGCTCCGAAGTAATGTTTTTTAGATAAGTGCTTCAGCTTCCCTTTAACGAATGAACCACTCAACAGGATGAAGGACAAAAGAGAGTTCTCATGTGTGCCCCTTCTGCTTTTCTCTTTGTCTTTCTGACAGGTTCATTACTTTAGCATGAAAAAAAAAAAAAAAAATGTCCCATGAAATTGAAGCCAATGTGGAAAGCAATCAGTGATTTTTCGTTGATGTATACCTGTTACTCATGTCGTTCATTTGCCATAGGGGCGTTTGATGGCCATGAATGCACGAATTTCTCTACCTGCCATGGTAGCCTAGTGTCTATGTTCTTGAAAGTGTGAAAATATTGGTGGGATTCCCAGTCATGGCAGTGTCCATATTTCGATGAATTTTAAATGTAACGACATGCCAATTTTTGCAGTTCGTGCAAAAATATGTGTCAAAATTAATCCACAGCAGTCATGCCTGGAAATCCTATTGTGGTCCTGCTATGTATAATCTCAGATTAACTGATTGATTGCACCCAAATTTGAGTATACGGGCCTACAGCATTTTCACCTCCATTTAAAATACAGCCGCCGCAGCGAGGATTTGATCCTGTGACCTGCGGGTCAGCAGCCAAGCACCTTAGCTACTACGTCCTTGGCGGGGCTGTATATTCTAAGGAATAAATTCTAAAGTGTTCACTTTTTCTGCGTGGGACTTCAAGATGGCCTTCAGACATTTCTCTTACTGTCTTTTGTGATTTCCAAGCTCTTAGTTCTTTCTTAGATACACCAAGATAACTAGGTTTTTTGTACTTGTGTTAAATGTCGGGATTTGTTGCACTCATTAAAATTATTTTGTTGTTATGAGTTGACAGAGTCGCGAAGCCATTGAAACTTCAAAGGAAAAATATTAAACAGGCAAACGTTTGGCTTGTTATTGCCCTGCTGACAGAACTGCCATGCCTGCAGCTCCTATAAAATTAGATTTTCTTTATCTATTTTTTCAAGCCCCACAATGTGCAAAAAGGACGTCCTTACAGCTGTGCCTTTTTAACTCGTATGCGACAGTCGGCTGGTTGCGGCTTTTCATCATCGTGAGCGAATATTTGCAGTTTGATAAACATGTTTCTTTCTTTTTGCTTTAAAACCTGCTTTATTTCTGGTCAGTGCTCCTGTGTTTGCTTCTTTTCGAGGTTTTAGTGTCGATAAGTTTTCAACAAGTTTTAAACTGCAGTTGGATTACTCTGGTTTCTTGTCACAAAAAGCAGGCACTCCTATGTAGTCTGTAAAGGCTGTTGATCAATAGCAAGAAGCCTAGAGCAAGATAGAGGCTTAATTTGATGAAACAAACAGGGAATGCCACTTGAGCCAACATTTACATGACGGGACATATCTTTTCCTTGTCCTTGTCTCAGTAATTTCTCAGTGGTTCATGCGAATGGCTGGCGAAAGCTCTACTCACTTTTGAGCAAGTCGTTCGTCCATCATTCTGATTTTGGGTCTTGATTTGTGGGGTGAGCTGTTCGCATCAAATCTACTTCTCATTGTCACTGTAGTCGGGCATGTCTAGCTTTTTTGTTTTAAAATTGCTCTATGAAATATTTTGTTCTCTAATTGTCCTTGGACATTTGCACTGTTAGTACTTAGTACATTGTGGAAGACCCTTTTGTCGCATCATTAAAACTAAGTCAGTGAATCGTGAAATTGTAATCTCAAGCAGCATTGGGGTCCTTCAGGTAAGTGAATGTCTGTGAGTGCTTAAATACATTGCAGCGGTTTAGCAGTGTACATGTGCAAAATCGAATGCGTCATGACAGTAGAGGAAAACAAGCAATATAAGTCTCATTAAAAGAAGAAATATTTATTAGGTACTATATACCAGATACAAGAAGTCAATAAGAACATGCATTTCAAAGTGTTGGGCAACACTAATAAAATATGCACTACTGCATGTGTACTGTGCTCACAAATTGAATGCGACATCAAAAACTTTTGTATAAGGACTATTATATCTAATTGATTGTAATAACTGCATCATGTCTCTCATCTGTCATCAAGTCTGGCCGCTAATTGTTTTGTAAGTGTTTCAGCGGTAACAAAACTCATATGAAACTTCCTGAACATGGTGAAAATAAATAAGCATGCAATATTTAGCTCTGGATTGTGTGCTTCCAATCCGTTTGCACCGTACACATTATCTAAATACTTCAGAGCTACGAATGAAATTGATGCAAAGAGTTTGTGTCAACAAAAATCAACTTTCAGTCAAATTAGAGCAAATTTATTGTTCGTTCTGAGATATGCTGGTGTCTTTCCTAGGGCTTTGATGTTCTGTAAGCCTATTTAATGCAAAAACAAAAAGACTGTTAAAAATGTTATGTTGGTACATCTCAAGGCAGGCCACAAATAGTGAAAGTAGGAGTGTGGCAACACAATGCCTTTGTGTTGTGGTGTCTTTCTTTTTGTCCTTGCATCATTATTTAATTGTTTAACCATCTGAGGCACTGTCTGACATGTCTATTCTGATCTCTCTTATCAGACGCAGGCAGCCTGAATGGGAATTCTGGTAGCGCCGCTGAAAATGTATCCACCGCATCATCGTCGAGCATTGCGCGGCAGTTTTCACGAGAGCTGTCAGAGGAAGAGACCAAGGAATACTTCTCAGTGCGGGTGAGTGCTGCTATAGTATTTGCATCTAAGTACACAGACACGTTAAAGTCTATGGCGAGGATATAATTGTCACAGTTTAGGTTGAAGGCATGCAAAAAGTATTCGTTGTGTGAACGGGTGCAAGTGTGGAAAAGCGAGGCTGTAGTACAGGGTGGGTTGGGGGGGTGTGTTAAATTGCTTCTTTCCAGCAACCTTATTATTTGTGTGTGTGTACACATAAGCACGCATGAGCCTGTACAAAGGGTGATCGAACTCCCCTCCTCCCATCCTGAAAAAACTTCTCTCCTGAACTGTAGGTGTTACAGGCAGGAGAGTCAAGGACAGAGAGAGAGAGAAAAGACTTTATTGGACGCAATGGGCTGGCAATTTGGTCTCAGTGGCTTTAGGTTGCGGCTTGTAGTCTCTGGACACGGACGGCATCCCCGGCCTGCCGGACGGCCCAGAGTTGGTCGTTCAGCTTTGGGCTTTGGAGGGCTGCCTCCCAGCGGCAGTGATGCTGCTGAAGAAGGTCGCCCGCAGCTCCCGTAGCCGGGGCGGCGGCAGGAAGGAGTAAGCTTGAGGCTCCTTGCGATTTGGTATTGACGGCCGCTATAGGCGCATCGCGAGATTGGTAGCGTTTTCACGACTGTCGTCGCCGGCACATTCCCAGAGCATGTGGTTCAGCGTTGCTCTGTGCCCGCACGCTTTACACATATCGGTGTGGTATAGGTTTGGGTGGAGGTGGCGTAGAACGACCGTGCTGGGGTAGGAGTGGGTTTGGAGTAAAGCTTGTTTAATTTCTCGTGCGGTAGCGGGAACCTACGCCTTTCGACACCATAGTGCCGGGTGATGTCACAGAACGTTGTAAGACGATCACCCCATGACCATTCTGAATCTTGTTGCTGCGTGCCTATCAAAGTGTCTTGATCCAGCAGATGCATCACCCCACTCTCGGAGTCAGAGGTGGCGGCCACGTAATGGGCCGCGGCTTGGCGAGTGAGACCTCGAGCCGGGGTGTGGGCCGCCTCGTTCCCTGCGAGCGGAATAGTGGTGTGTGACGGGGTCCATAGGAGAAAAACCGTTGGGGTGTGGGGTTGTGAGCGCGACCTTGAGTCTCCATCTCCGCACATTTGAAGGATGCATGCCGCTTCCCGCGAGATACGGCCGCGCGCGAAACTGCGTACTGCCGCCTGCGAGTTGCTTATCACAATCTCTGCATGCGGCGCTGCGGCGAGGGCTAAGGCTATCGCGGCTTGTTCGGCTGCCTCCGCGTATCCCGTCGTCACCGTGGCACTCGCGAGGCATTTGCCCTGATGGTCAACGAGCTCAGTTGCGAGGGCTCTTCTCTCTTCTCCATATCTCGCGGTGTCTACGTATACCACGTCCGTACTGTTACAAAACTTCTTTTGAAGCTGTCTAGCACGCTCGTTACGCCGTCCGATGCGGTGCGTCGGGTGCATATTCCTAGGAATCGGCGGAACGATCAAGCGGTTGCAGACTGAGGCAGGGACCTCCACCTTTTCTCCTTGCTGAGCGTGATATCTGATGCCCAGCGACTCAAGGATGTGTCGACCCGTCTTTGATTTGGTTAAGCGTTCATATTGTTACGAGTGACTGTGTTTATTTACAGATGAGGTGAAAAGGCGTTGTGAAATAGCAGCGTACTTCTGAGACAGGCCAAGAACGCTTCCACCTAACCACACAGTCCAGGCGCCGCTCCACTACTCTTCTTCTTCTTCCGCGCCCCGTAGGCTCGCACATCTTCGTTTCATTTCCCCTGGCGGCAGACGAAGCTCGCTGAGCGAGTTAAATAGGCCTATGATGGTACTGTTTGAGGCGGGCTACGTGAACAACTTGCGTAGTGCGCGAACGCCGGTTATTGGCTGTGACTCGGGCGACAACGTAATTCAAGTCACTGAGACAAGTGACTATCACGAATGGGCCGGAATAGTTTGCTAAAAACTTCCGGTACGATCCTTTTCTACGAACAGGAGTCCACAGCCACACGTGGTCACCAGGAGAAAACTCTACGGGGATATGCTTGGCATCGTAGCGACTCTTGCTGTGTTCTTGCGAAGACAATGTTTGAAGGCGCGCTTGTTGACGTGCTTCTTCAGCGCGACACAACGTCTGAGCGATGGACAGATCTTCCTGATGCGAGAAAGGTAATAGAATGTCCAGGAAACTCTGTAGATTTCGTGCGTAAAGCAGAAAGAAGGGCGAATGTCCAGTCACTGCATGCTTGGCGGTGTTGTAAGCGTAAGTAACAAATGGTAAGACGGCGTCCCAGTTCCTGTGGTCAGCATCACCGTACATCGATAACATATTCGTGAGAGTTTGATTTGTTCTCTCAGTGAGACCGTTAGTTTGCGGATGGTAAGGGGTGGAGTGGCGATAAGAGGAGCCACAGAGGCGCAAAACTTCTTCAACCACATCGGCCATAAATTGTCGTCTACGGTCACTGATGACAACCCGTGGAGCACCGTGACGCAGTATGACCCGTTGTAACAGAAAAGAAGAAACAGCGGCTGCTGTGGCCGATGTCAGTGCGTTTGTTTCTCTATAACGCGTTAAATAATCCACGCACACTATAACATATCGGTGGCCCGATGGGGTCTTAGGAAGGGGTCCGAGCAAGTCAATGCCGACTTTTTCAAAAGGGGATGTCGGTGGAGGGATGGGCTGCAAATAACCTGCCGGGGCAGTGGTGGATGGCTTGTGGCGCTGACATATAGAGCAGCTGGTGACGTACTGTTTTGTGGTCTTCCACATTTTCGGCCAGTAGAACCTCTCACGTTGTCGATGCAGCGTACGTGTGAAACCGAGATGACCGGATGTTATGTCATCGTGCGCAGAACGAAGGACGACCTGGCGCAGGCTTTCCGGCACCACTAGAAGCAACGGGAGGCCATCGGGTGAATAGTTTCTTTTATACAGCAAGCCATTTGAAATTTTAAAGTGCTTGTCGACGGAGTTATGTGCAGCTTCGAGCAAAGCTTTCAGAGTAGGGTCGCGCTGCTGTTCACGTTTGAAGCTGCTGGTATCTGGGAAGTCGGACGAGACAGAAACTAAATAGTCATCAATGTCATTGTCGTCAGCATTGGTGTGTACTGAAGGAAGGCGGGATAAGCAGTCGGCATCTGTGTGACATCGTCCGCTCTTATAGGTAACAGAAAAGCTGTACTCTTGGAGACGCAACGCCCAACGAGCCAGCCGGCCAGACGGCTCACGAAGTCCCACAAGCCAGCATAGTGAGTGGTGATCGGTCACTATTGTGAACTCTCGGCCATGTAGATACGATCGGAACTTCTGAATGGCGAAGACGACTGCTAAGCACTCGAGCTCGGTGACGGTGTAGTTCATCTCTGCTCTTGTCAGTGTCCGACTGGCATATGCTACGACGTGCTGGCGACTGTTGCAGAGTTGGACCAGCACAGAACCAACACCTAGCCCACTAGCATCAGTATGAAGTTCAGTCGAAGCATCAGGATCAAAATGCTTTAGGATGGGTCCTGAAGTCAATAAAAACTTCAGCTGTTGAAATGCAGCCTCACATTTATCATCCCACAAGTACGATGTGTCTTTTATGAAGAAGGGACGTCAGTGGGGAGGCAAGTTGTGTGAAGTTCTTAATAAATTGGCGGAAATATGAGCACAGACCCAGAAAACTTCGCAGGTCCTTCACTGTTCGTGGTGGTTCAAAGTTGCGAACCACTGCGGTCTTCTGTGGGTCTGGTCGCACGCCTTCTTTATCCACGAGAAAGCCTAATACGAGGGCTTGACGTTCTCCAAAATGACACTTCTTTGAGTTTAAAACAAGGCCAGCTTCGCGTAAGCATTCAAACACAAGCGACAAGCGGTGGTTATGCTCTTGAAAAGTCTTGCCGTAGATAATCACGTCATCTAAATAGCACATGCAAATTTCCCATTTTAGTCCACGGAGTACTGTATCCATAAATCTCTCGAATGTCGCTGGAGCATTGCACAAACCAAAGGGCATAACGTTGAACTCAAAGAGACCGTCTGGTGTTACGAAGGCTGTCTTCTCTTTATCTGAGGGATGCATAGGAATTTGCCAATACCCAGAACGCAAGTCAACAGAAGAAAAATAGGAGGCAGAATGCAGGCAGTCCACGGCGTCATCTATACGTGGCAAAGGGTAGACGTCTTTTTTTGTGATGGCATTTAGGCGACGATAGTCTACGCAGAATCTCCATGAATTATCCTTTTTCCTCACTAGAATGACAGGAGCTGCCCATGGGACTACACGATTCTTGAATGACGCCCTTCTTTAGCATGTCTTCATCTTGCTCAGCGATGACTTTCCTTTCGGAAGGCGAGACACGATAGGGCTTCTGGCGTATTGGTGGTAATTGGCCTGTATAGATGCAGTGTTGCGTACGTGAAGACGGTGGTGTAACGGTAGAGGTCTCGTCTTGGGCAAAGTCGAAGACTGAGGCGTAGCGTGTGATCACCTCCTGCAGCAGCGACCGTTCAGTTGATGGAAGTGACTTGTTAATCATACGGTCAATGCTGGCAGAATAGTCGCGGTACGAGTTGGCGTGGGGTTTCTTTACATCCACCGACAGTTGGAGTGACCGTATGGTAACAGTACTTTGCTTTTGAAAGCTTGCCAATTTAAGTCCTGCAGGCAGATATATGGGCTGCGCGGAAACGTTCACAGTCCACAAATCGGCACAACCATCGACGATGAGCACGAGGCAACGAGGCACAATAACGTTTTTCTTAAGGGCGTTACTGAAGTTCGGCTCGGCTAAACCATAGTAAGAACCCACACAAGAACGCAAAGAGTTTACACGCACAAACATTGCGGTATGTGGGGCCAAGCAGACGTCTTCATACACGGAAAACACTTCCAAGCAGTCATCAACGGTATCTTTTGTCAATGGAGGCCGCAACACGGGACGAAAAATAATCTCACCACTACCACAATCTAGAGTTGCACCACATCCCCGCAAAAAAACTATACCTAGAATGACCTCATGGGTCGCTCGTGCAAG